CCTCCCTCCCCACCGTCCTGCTCTGCTCACTGCGGAGTTCACAGGAGCAGATTTATCCTGGCACATCTCGTTGGATCCCTGGCTGTGCCCTCGCCTCCCTCCCCACCGTCCTGCTCTGCTCACTGCAGAATTCACAGGAGCAGATTTATCCTGGCACATCTCGTTGGGTCCCTGGCTGTGCTGGATTCTCCCCCCAGCACCTTCCCTTGCCTGCTGTGCAGTGTCCTCCCCACCTTCCACTGAGTTCACCCCTCTTTTCCATCCCGACCCACCCTGGCTGTCCCTGGGCTCAGATCCCTCCTGCCAAAGTGACTGTGCTGRTTTTCCCTTCTGGTTTAACCACTCCGTCACGGCCAAGCTCAGCTCCTCCTTTTAAACCCTGTCTCAGCTTCTTCCCTTCTGGCTGCTCCAAGAGGCTTCTTCTGACCAGGACACCGGGAATTTCTCCCTGTTCACCTCACCTGCTTGGCTCCCTATTCTCACAAGTCCCAGCCYCATAACTCCTCTCAGTGTCCCCCAAATAGGACTCTCCTTTACCCTCCACAGGCTCTGAGGCTCAGGCAGCCCCAGGGTTTCTCTTGTGGTTCCACTGACTGTCGGACTCCTCTGAGACCCCTGAAGCACCTCCAGACCTGGAACCCTCTGCCCAGCCAAGGCTGCAGCCTGAGCACAGCTCACCCTGAAATTCTCGGGATCCACATGCAGTTTGTCACAGTGGAGTTTGCTCAGCTGAGCAAAACATTTCTTGATGCTGTCCAGGTTCTTGATRGCTTCCCCGAAGGAGGTCAGCACCTTCTTGCCATGAGCACGGACCATGGGGTTGCCAGTGATGGCYGTGGGGCTGGACAGGTTCCCAAAGGTGGCAAAGAACCTCTGGGTCCAGGGGTAGACGATCAGCAGCCTGGGGAGAGATGACAGTCACATTGACGCTCTGGTGACTGCAGTGGTTTGTGTCTCCCGGTGCAGCCGGGCAGTTCCCAGAGCTGGACCTACCTGGCCAGTGCCTCGGCGCCGCACTCGGCCACATTGACCTTGCTCCAGAGGCCGGTGATGAGAGCCTTCTCCTCGGCTGTCCACTGCACCATGGTGTCGGCAGG